GTAGAGGAAGATGGGCACGGATGTTAGCCCAGGGCCAGTCTTCCTCAGCAAAAAGAGGAGGATTGGCATGGATGTTAGCTCAGGGCTGAGCTTCCGCACACACAAAAAAAAAAAAACAAATGGACTAAAGGGAGGCCAGCCCCGTGGCGCAGCGGTTAAGTTCACACGTTTCACTTTAGCGGCCCGGGGTTCGCTGGTTCAGATCCTGGGCGTGGACCTACTCACTGCTCATCAAGCCATGCTGAGGTGGCGTTCCACATAGAAGAGCTACAACTTTACAACTATGATACACAACTATGTACTGGGGCTTTGGGGAGAAAAAGAAAAAAGAGGAAGATTGGCAACAGATGTTAGCGCAGGGCCAATCTTCCTCAAAAAAAAAAAAAAAAAAGAATGGACTAGAAATGCCAGTCCTATTCTTGACCTTTTATCAGTCATTTAGGAGGGAAGGGGGGTTGTGTGTAGATCACTGGGTATTGGCTATGCCCTTCAGGCTGTGACTCTATGGTGGCAATGGACTGCTAGCGGAGCTCACGCTGAGGCTGAGTCTAAAAGACAATGGGGGAAGGGTGGTGTGAGAGAGAAGACCTGTGGTAGTCTGGTCCCCTTTATGGTGGGAGGGGTTAGCAGCAAAAAAGGTGCCCATTCCATGAGGAGGTTTTGTGAAAGTCAGGACATGTGCAGGACAACTATGGATCCCAGTGACAGGATACCACCCAGGGTTGGATAGTGGTCAGGCCAAACACTGGAGCAAGACAGCAGGGCTCAGCATAAACTCAAAAGCCCTGAACGTCCACAGCGCCGCCAGCCTATGCAGAAAATGTGGGTGCAGACTCTTTCTTGAAGACCGGAATATTAAGAACTGCTTCGTGGCATTTTGCAGAGCTGTGACTCTGTGGTCATGGGCGTGGGGTGATGAAGTCAGTAGATCTGGGATATGAAGTATATAAAGGGATATGATCTCCAGCCACAGGCTAGTAGGGGCTGTGGACACTCAGGTTCTGTTCCATCCACCCACCCAAAAGATGAATCTTCACTAACCAAACCTACTATGCCCAGGTACTTTCCCTTGTCCACTGAGAGGCCCAAATTCTGCTTACCAGACTGCTTGTATTTCTGGATTTTTGTCTTCAGGTCTATTCTGTGGATGTTCTTCAGGCATTTTTCTAATAAATCCAACTGATCTGGAGCAAGCAGATTTAGTTTCTCCAATTCAATCACAAGATCCAAGAAACTCTAAGAGAGCCACCAACGAGAAACAAAGGTCAGCAGGGCTGACTGTTAAGCCCCAAACGCAAACCTCAGGCCATGTGATTTACAACAGCAAGAAAATGTGACAAGAAGAGCCCTCTGTGACCTTCAGTGATCCCAAACCAGACCTCTCTGTTTCATACTCCCTCCAAGGCCAGGAGCAAATGACACTCCTGCATTTTACTCAGCAAAGAGGTGGTGGCAAGTCTTTTGGGGGCCACGCTGTACCTAGGTTGGGGAGAGACACATGGGCCACTCAGTGTCATCGAGGAGTACTGTGAGAGGGCAGGCCTAAAAACGAAGGCCAGGCTGGCGTCATACTGAGAAACCCTAAGGGCTTTCCTGTAAAAGGAAGAGAGAAGGTAGCTGGGGGGAAGTTTTCACTAGAAAAATCCCAATGATACGGTTTTGAAGTTCCTAATATACTTTCATCAATGCTGGACATTCCAATTCCTTCTGACTCAGGTGGTATCAGGCTGCAAAATTACAAGGTTAGGGCATTTTGCTACTCATTTACCCTGGACCACAGGGATTGTGAAAGAACTATATTTCAGAAACAGACAATGCTTTCGGTTTTACTTCCCTTCTGTTGGTTACTGAAGTGCTATCTTTATTTTTAAAAATAATAATCATAATTAAATCCATATAAATGATTGGGAGATAAGTTGATTAGGGGAAACCAAAAAAGTTCTATTTTTGTCGTTTTCCTTCCCATTTTGCATTGATAGCACACAGTCACTCTATGTTCCCAGATTTCAGAAACTACAATCATTGAGGAACATGAGGAAATTCTCAAGCAATGACTTAGAGTCCTCAGAGGCAGGTCCTTCAAGGGCATATTGTCATATACTGGAGACCCAGGCTCCTCCTGGCTGGTCCTTAGGTCAGCAGGACTATACAGAGCCAGCCGGAAGTTAAACACTTTTCCAGCCATCACAACATCCCTGAGCTCTTCGCCCCTACCTGGTTTTCAACCCCAAATCTCTACTTTGGCCATTCCCCGGATAGATCAGTCACAAGGACCATCCCCAACCCATCTCCACAGGCAGCCTAATGACTCCTCACTGACCTGGAGCTAGCTGAGAAGAGAGGCAGGAGGAGAGCAAAGCAAGAGTGGACTGGCACTTCCCACCCGTTTCTCCTCAGCACGAGCAGACTCCCGCGTGCTGGGACGGTTAGGGACTCCCTAACCCTCCCAGATGATCTGTCAACCCCGGGAGAGAAACTGATGGATAAGCCAGGCCTAAGAAGTTTACACAAATAAAGGATAAAATACAAGGATGAAAGAAACACCCAAGGCCACATCAGAAGATATCACCCTATTTCCTCTCAACTCATAAACCAATTCCCTTCCCATCAATGTTATATGAAAAAACCCATCCTCTTCTCCCTTTCCGCCTTCACCCCAGCCTGGGTCTCCCTGCTCCAGTGCCCGCTTCCCTCTCTTCACACCGTGGAGAGCATCCCCTAGCTTCTCAGAGGCTCTTGGGAACATGAACCAAGAAGAAGATAACTCACCTTGTCCTTGGCTATCCTGCCTCGGCCCATATAATCCCTCATGAGGAAAATTAATGAGGACACATCAGATTTATCCAAATCCTCACCAATCTCCGTCATCAGCACCCTGTAAACCAGAGAAGTTTCTTTAGTAAATTCAGATACAGTGCTAGTGAGAACACCAAGAGCCTACACTTCCCCTATGCCAATAACTGGTTAAAAGACTAGTTCTTGCCCCCATTGGAATGTGCCCCCCCAAAACAGAAAGCCTAGATCACCAGGAAGAGATCTTAAGAGAACTCAAAGAGGAAATTCACACTTCCCCCAGTTTTCAACAAGAGATAGTACCTCTTTCCAACTAACTGCTCTGAAAACAACTCAGAGAATAAAAACTTCCCTAAAGAATCCCCTAGCTCCCCCAGAAGTGACGACGAATAAATGAAGAACCTAAATGACTAAGATGAAAGGCAGAAATAGAATTCAAGGTGACCTTGTCTTTTCTGTTAACAAGCTCCCAGGTGATGCTGAGCCTGTTGATCCAGGGAACATACTTTGAGTTGAAAGATTCTAAAGCCAAGTAACGCTCAGGATCCCCTGGCCCACGCCCGAACTCAATGGGTAAAAGGCCTCTAGGTCCTGGGGACTGTGACCATAGATGTCTCGGTCTAGAAAGCCCCTCCTGACTCTGTCACTTCTGCTCCAGTTGGCGCTACCATCACGCTTCTTCGGGACTCCCAGGACATCCCCTGGTTAGCAGTTACCTTGACATTGTCCTCACTGTTTAGAAGGTCGTTTTCCCAGTTAGACTCTCAGATTCTCGAGAATGCAAGGGTCTTGGTTCATTTTGCTCTAGTGCTTACCAAACACCTGGCATGTGTCGACCCACAACAAAGCCCACTGAACAGATGAACCAACAAATCTAGCCCTCTCCTCCCACTGCTCTGCCTCTCTGCTCAGAGACCCTGAAGAACTGCCTCCACTCACCAGAGCAAGGAAACAGGAAGTGGAGAGAGAGCCCTAACCCATTCCCTCAAATCCAGTCTGGGCCTCCCAACAAGTCTTAGGAACATTGTTGACATTATATGATGGTAGGAGAGGTGAAGATGATCGAGTATAACAACAATACTAAACCCTTGCATTTGTAGAGTGCTTCATAGTTTTAGAAAGGACTTCACATACTGGACTCGCACAATTGATCCTCACCAACAGACTTGTGAAATCAGGTAGTATTATTCTTAGCCTTACAAGTAGGAAAACAAAGGCCCACCCAACGTTAGTGGCCGGCTCAGTAACTGATAGTTCTGGGGCTGGAAACAGACCTTCAGACCTCAAGTCTCAGACGCTTTCCAGGCCCACACTGCTTTCAACTCTCTTTAATATAGTTTTTAATAATACAGATCATCTCCAAATACACATTATTGATATAAGTAAAGGCTGGTCATCTGGAGAAAAAGGAATTGCTAATTTAAGGTTACAAGTTCTCTTCATTTCCCCAGAAACGAAGCCTGTCCAGTGGTTTCCATGCTCCCCTAAACCACCAAGATGGTACTGTGTGAACAGGAGGAAGGAACAACTCAAGGCTGTCTGAACTAAAGGGGGCTAGGGGTTGTTAAGTGAAGAGGTGTTCCATTTGTGCTCCCAGAGCCTCTGGGAGCAGGGACCTCACAGAAACTCATAGAAATAGAGCCCACCCCACTAACTGCTCAGCAGAGGACAGATTCAGGAGGGATCACAGAGTTCTACAGACATCAGGAAGATCACTATCAGACTTGTTATTTCCTTTCTCATAGCAGAAACCGCCAGGGGTCTGACATCACAGAAGATCAAGCTAGCAGGGACCACTGTGGATCTCACAGTCAGAGGCTGGCAAGAACGATTAGCTCTTAGTCGTTCCTCTCTCTCTCCGTCAGGCAAACACACACCATCCAGCCCATCCACTTTCATTACGATCTTCTACCCAATTACGAGAAGCAAACACAGTCTAAGAATTCAAGGAGTTCAAAGGAATGAAGTAACATCGTATGGCAGCTGGATCAGCAGACAGAGAAAATAATGAGGCTGCTTTTCTTACTGTCCTTGTTTCTATGGTTCAGGAGCCTAGACCACTTCTCTCCCTCCCACCAGTCCAGCCTCAGGAGGCTGATGAATTACCTATAGTCCGAAACAAGCCGAGGGTGCCTGAGCAGGTGGGCCTCCACCGCCGTTTTGTCCATCTTCAAGATCCGCTTGAGCAAGTCAAACCGCTTAACTCTGTAGAGCAGCTCAGCCAAGCCGACAACAGACAGCTTTCCTCTCTCGCTTAAAATATCTAGAAGATCCCTGACATTAAGCGGAGCCCCATCTTCAGCAACATCCCGGCACAAAAAAAGAAGCATCTCCTTCTCCTCGTCGTCAAGTGCCTCTTCGACCTGATGGATGACCTCAGCAGACATCCTGATTTTTATGGATGGACAGTGGACAATCCTGACGTCATTCCAAAGAACTGTAGTAACAAAACTCCAGCCTGGTCAACAGAAGGCCTTGAGGCTACTGACTTCATTTCTGATGGTTTTCTTCATTTCTTTCAGAATCCTTTCCGATGGGGGAGTTCTGTGGTTAAAAGGGAATTTTTAAAAATCCTCTTATCAAAGTACCTTATGGCTAAAATTCGAAGGCTCTTTCTTTCTTGCTGTTCTCTCTGACCTAGCAGATTACATTCATATTGTTAAGTCTACAGAAAGGGATCCTCAGCAGACAAAGCAACTGATCCAAAACACAAGAGACAAAGACAATAACCTACTTTTAAAGAAAATAAAACGAGAAGAAAATTATTCCAAAAAATCCCACATTCTTCATCAGACTTTACAGAACGGAAAGTAAGGTCAGGGGAAACCAAAGTCAGGGTTAATGACTAAGTGGCAAATCAATGACCCTTGTGGGAGGAAGAGGAAAATCCCAATGACTCAGCCAGTGAACAAACGAGAGACACTGTTGTCATAGTGGCTAACACCACTTTAGGGAACCTCTCCCAGGCAGGCTTGAAAAAATATTGGTCTTGGCAAAAGGGACCCTCTGTAGGGTTTCAAAAATGATGGGAGAAAAGAGGTTTCTGTCCCTACTCCAGCCCTTTTTCCAGTTGTTCTCCTATTCACACCTATAAGCAGATACCCCTGCTGCCATCCTCCCAAAGTCCCAGGCCTTTTCATAGCTTCATCATGAATTAGGACCTGCCACCACAGCTGAACAAGGTCTTGTCAAGTTTTGATCACCTCTTCAGGGAGGTGACTGGGAGCCCTGACTCTCAATACTGCTATAGGGCAGCAGTTATCACCCGAGTCCCTGATGGTGTCAGTGGAAGGAAGGCAGTGGAACAGAAGATCCAGGAAAAGATCCCACTCCTGGGGTGGGACTTGGGTGGGAGTGGTGGAGAGGTCATGCCATGGATGTATTCTTAATTTCTTCCATTGGAACTTAACCTATTTTCTTTCAAAATTTAAGTTGCAAATGGCAGTTACTATCTAGTCTAAAGTTTCATAGCTATGTTTTATGTTAAGTAAGTTTTTGTGTTCTGGGAGAGTACCTTGTCTGTTTGTATCAGAAAATAATTCAAGTTAAAAAAAGCTAATCTTAGCAAAAAATAATTGGAAACAACCCAAATGCAAGTTGCTAACTATTGCCACATATTTATGGATGTTAGCTCAGGGCCACTCTTCCTCAGCAAAAAGAGGAGGATTGGCATGGATGTTAGCTCAGGGCTGATCTTCCTCACACACACACACACACAAAAAATCTCCTGTGATTGACCAATGTAAGAGAGAAAAAGTCAGCTGCTGTGGTTGGAATAGGAGGTCCTGGAGGGGAGGGGCAGGGTTAGGGTCCAAATAATCACTACTGTGTTGGAGTTTCCTTTAAACCCAAACCAAGAAATTAACATAAAGATTACTCTGAGACTAGGGAAGCCCACAAGGTCTTCAGCGGCAAGCTCAAAACCACCCCATAAGTCCACTTGCACAACCCAGGGCACGTGAGACTCATTCCACTGGAGGTCAGCTCATGCTTAAAAATTACCATGCACAGAAATAAAAATCACCCTGACGGTAGACAAAACAAAGAAAATTCACATCCTAGGAACCTACATCTGAAAGAGCTGAAAATAAGTATCTTAAAACATTCAAGGGGCCAGCCCGGTGGCATAGCAGTTAAATTCACACATTCCTCCTCGGAGGGGTTCGCGGGTTTGGTTCCTGGGCGCTGACCTACTCACTGCTCATCAAGCCATGCTGAGGCAGTGTCCCACATAGAAGAACTAGAAGGACCTACAACTAGGATATACAACTGTGTACTGGGGCTTTGGGAGGAAAAAAGAAAAAGAGGAAGATTGGCAACAGATGTTGAAACCGAGGATGAAGGAGTTCAAGTTTCCCTGGATTAGGATGAAACCGTGCCTGCGCCTACAAGATTAACCTGGAAAACAAAGTCACTAAAGTCTCTGAGCTTGCCTTGCAGAACAGCAGGAGGACCGCTGATGGAGAGCAGCCTGCTGACAGCCCTCCGCCTGACTAAGCCTGACTAAGCCTGACTAAGCCTGACTAAGCATCTCGCAGGAGCACTAAGCAGTTGCCCCTGCGCAGAACACTCTTTGAACTTCAGCCCCCAAGGCCACACGCTCCCCTCCCGGTCTTATTCTCACAATGTGCTTTGGAAAAACGCTTAGAACTGCACAGAGGCACGCTACTCTGTGACTGGTAGAAAGAATAACCTGTCCTCCGCCCGAAATGTTCCTCCTGTCCCAGACAAAGAAGTAACTGAGGTTCGCTTTGATTCCTCAGGAATGCCGCCTTCAGCAGATCTGCTAAGGAGAAGCGCCCAACGTTCCGAGCTCTCCATCACCTGACATTTCTGAGCCCCTCCCCAACCCCGCTGCCTGATATAAGTCCTTTCCAAACCAGTTCCCCTTTAGGATGGGTTTGATATGCGAGCTTATCCCTTGTTACAGTTCTTTCTCCACCACCGCCTGCTTGGCCTTTTGTCTTGCGGGGAGCAGATCGAGCTCTTGAGCAGTATCACCGTTAGCTCAGGGCCAATCTTCCTCAAAAAAAAAAAAAAAACGACAACAAACGTTCCAGAAGAGAAGGGAAATTTCTGTAATGTAATAGGCCAAATCAATGGTTGTTAATCAAGGGCAGTCTGCCCCACATGTCTCAGAGGACATGTGACAATGTCTGGAGACGTTTTTTGGTCATCATAACCAGTGCCAAGATTGAGAAACCCTGCAGTAGATAATCTGAAAAAACTCTGGCTATAATACACACTGAGATGCTAAATAAAACATAAAAAATATTTGCTCAAATACACAGCTGAGCATGTAAGTAAGTAAAATTGTAGGGAGCCAAAAAGAAAAAAACAGCTAAAAACCAGTGACAGTTGTTTTAAGATTTACCATATATAATAGCATCAAAATAGATAATATGTAGGAATGAGTCTAACAAAAGATTCGCAAGACATTAACAGAAAAAAACAACTATAAACTACTATTGGAAAGACATTAATAAAGACCTAGATAAAAGGAGAGCTTTACCTTTTTCATGAATAGGGGGATTCAATGTAACAAAGATGTGAGTTCTCTAAAAAACTGACCTATGGATTAAAAGCAAGGGACTTATCTTATGAGACAGCAATTTATAAACAGTTAAATAGTAATCACAAGAAAAAGAGAAAAGCCCACAGCAAATATTATACCTAACAGGGACATGTTAGAAGCATTTCCTTAAAAAAATCAGGCTTGACATTTGAAAACAATAATCTGTATCACAGAATAGGAAAAAGTGCAGAACATCTAGTTAATGGTAAAATTTGTAATAAGATAATGACCAAAGCAGATAGATAGTTTCCAATCTCCTTCTCCCCCACAAATACACACACACATCCACATTCTCTCTCTCTCTCTCTCTAGTTCTCTCTCTAATGCTATTGCTTTGGAATCCACCACGTGATGTTTAATAGCATAATTACCTTTCTAATTATATTTGTTAGTAATACAAGTATCAGAATATGTTCCTTGACTGCATAATGATTGTGAAGCTACAGCAAGATAAGGGGCATCTATCTTAAGAGATTTTTTAAATGGTAATTCTTTCTTAATTTTGTTGCCAATTGTGATGAACCTCAGACTTATTTCTGTTATAGAGACCTCTTTACACATCAACATATTCTAAAAGTCTATATGCAAATATTTTTATGAAGTCAAATTTAATTTCTGGTTTATCCACATTGTTATTTTAGAGATGCTGTAACTTCATTTTAAAAATATTTCTTTAAATCAACTTTACTGAGGTACAGTTTACATATAATTAAATGCACCCATTTTAAGTATAAGGTTCAATCAATTTTGACAAATTTATATACCTATGTAGCCACCACCACAATCAAGATACAGAACATTTCCATGAACATAACAAGTTCTTATGCACCATTCCAGTAACCCCTGCTAACCCCAGTCCCAGGAAACATCTGATCTGCTCTCTGAAATAATACATTAGATTTGTCTTTTTTAGAATGTCATATAGGTGAAATCATATAGTATGTACTCTCTTGCATTTGGCTACTTTGGTTCAACATAATGATTTTGAGATTCACCCATGTCGTTGCACATATTAAGACTTCATTTCTTGGGCCGGCTCCGTGGCTTAGCGGTTAAGTGCGCGCGCTCTGATGCTGGCGGCCCGGGTTCGGATCCCGGGCGCGCCCCGAGGCACCACTTCTCCGT